GAGCTGTAGCTGATCCTGCTGCGGCCGCCGCAGCCGCCCCCGAATCCTCCCCCGACGGCGGAGCAGGAGCTGAATCCCCTCCTGCTGCCCATCCCGAAGCTCCTGCACACCGACTGACGGGACATTCCCGCTTCTCCGCGCAGCCCGAAAAAGGGAAGGACGAGGAGAACGCGGCGCTGAGGGCGGAGAGAGAAGCGCTCCGAGTCTCCTCTGGTTCCTCTGGCTCCGGGAATTCCCTTTTATCCCCTGCCGGGGGTGGGCCCGGGGCGCCTCGGGCGTGAAGAGGAAACGCATTTACTGTCTCCATCAGCTCCGTGCGGTTTCCAGCTCCACCCAAGGAATCCGCCTGGCCGGGCAGAAGGGGCTGGCGAGGCAGGAGCAGGTTTCTCCCTCCCTGGATAAGCGGACTGCCCTATCTCTTTTATCATCTAAAAAAAATATGTTTTACAGGCGATGGTGTCATGTTCTGCCGCCTCCCTGCCCTGCTCCAAACGACTCCACGCGTCGCCTGACTCGGGATTTTTTTTTTTTCCTCCTCTCCTGACGCCTCAAACCGGGCAGGGATTTCGGTGCAACCCTCCTGAGACGAGGCTTTTTTTTTTTTTTTTCATTTCACAATCCCCTTTTCCCCCCACCCCACCCCACCCCACCGGCCACACCTCCCGAATCTCCTTCCCCAAGCGGAAAATTCCCTCCCTCGACGGCTTTTCCAAAGGGGGAAAAATCGCCGCGTAAGGAACATTTGGCGGCCCCGTCAGCGTTTCGGTCCCGCTCAGCTCCTTCCTAAAAACCTCGGGGTTGGGCGCCCTTCCCCTTCCAAAATGTGTCCCCCTGGGGTTGGGGGGGGGATGAGCAAGAGGACGGGGAATTCCGAGCCTTTCCTTGTGCTTTTCCAGCGGACTGTAGAGCCCGTGGGGGACGGGGAGGACGCTCGGGGCGGTAAGGAGGGCTGAGGGGAACGTTTAATTCCCTGCAGCATCTGCCCGGCGATGGAGCTGGAAGCTCACCCGAGGGACCTCCCGCAGGCGCCTCCCGGGGCGTCGTTAATGACTAAATATTTTGGTTTAAATTTATGGAATTTAGGGGGAAAAAAACCCCCACAGTATTTCCACCATTTTTTATTTCCTGAAAAATCATCAATAAAAGTCGAGGGAACGACGCGTTTTAAATCTCATTTCAGCAGCGCAGGGATGTCCTGGGTTTTGGCTTCCCCAGGGCCTGTGCTGGAGTTTTCACACTCACTCAACTCGCACCCGAGATTTGGGCAGGTAAATGTGGTTTTTAAGGTGTCCCAGGCAAATCCACCGGCGGCCGCGGGCTCTGCCAACCCTCCGGAAAACCAGCCCGGGGAACCACTTCCAAAAACCACGGGAGGAAGGGGAAACGTGGATGTGGCCGGTGGGAACAGGGAGTGGGGCTGCTGGACCCTCGGGATGGGCAGAACGGGGGGATAGAGGGGGGAAAGGTCACCCTGGAGGGGGATTCGGCTGCTGGTCAGGGGTTATTCCACCCCTGAGGGGCTCAAAACCACCTGGATAAGGGTTATCCCACCCTGGAGGGGCTCAAAGCCACTTGGCCAGGGGTTATCCCACCCTGGAGGGACTCAGAACCATCTGGACAAGGGTTATCCCACCCTGGAGAGACTCTAAAAATGCTTGGCCAAGGATTATCCCACCCCAGAGGGGTTCAAAACCACCTGGCCAGGGGTTATCCCATCCTTGAGGGACCCTAAAAAACACCTGGGCAAGGGTTATCCCACCCTGAGGTGCTCAAAAGCCACTCGGCCGAGGGTTATCCCACCCTTGAGAGGGACTCGGATGTTGGCCGAGGATTGATCCTACTCTTGAGGGACTCTAAATAAACACTTGGCCAAGCGTCTTCCCACTCTCGAGGGGCTCAGGTGAGGGTTGGCCGAGGGTCACCCCACCCCGATGGACTCCAGGGCTGGCCGAGGGTTCTCCAGGCGTGTGTTCCTCCCGGGAAGGACCCCGAACGAAGGAATCCGAGTGAAGATCCTCTTATTTCTCCACCGCCACATCCACGGTGGAGATTTTACCCCCCCCCCCCCGGCTCACCCCTCAATCCCGGAGCAGCCCCCCCGGGGGGGGCTGGACAAAACAGTTCATCC